AGATAAATCGATCCGAATCTCATATAAAATCCCAAATTAATATGATCTTAGTGAATTGTGATCCGGATCTTTTAAGATTGTAGAATCCAGATCCGAATTGGGTTTATTTGTTAGGCGCATTTAATTATTAAGCTGACTTAATTCATATTTATTATTTTAATACTTAAAGACTCAAATTTAAATGGAATTGTCTCACATAATTGTTAGTCTATTAAGGAATTTTGACGAATGAAAAAGCTGCATAAAATTCTTTCTGCTATAGAAAATTCTTTTCATCCAATTGTTTCCCGAGCTGAAAATTAAAAACAACCGTTAAGTTTGATTACACAAGTAATAATTGCTAAATGGTCATCTATTTTCATTCTTTTCTATTTTTTTGGTTTAGATGTCAAGCAAGTCTTTCAAATTTTCAGGACCTCATCTATGTTTGTCTCTCTCTAAAAATTAAGATCAAAATATTTCATTTTTCCTACTCCTCACAACATCCCACAAGATTCAACAATCCATATTTGATTTTTAACCATTTTTAAGGCTCAAGCTCTTTAAATAATCATGTCTCTAAATTTTGTGATTTTTTTTTATATCACATCAATTTGCATTATATACTAGCAACCTATTTATGCTAGCAACATCCCACAAGGTTAACAATCTACATTTTATGTTTTTTTTTATGAAGCTCAAGCTATTCTCTTCCTCGGTAGTAGCAACAGGCATACAAGAAGTGAGATATCTATATAATATTACACATAATCTTGCTCACATATACTACAACAACAACCCAAATCGTTTAAATTTGATGATTTATATTATGACTTAAATTTCAACTTTTTAATTTCTTTAACTCAATCAATATATTTTTTTTTTTTAAAAAAAGTGTGCTTTGCACAAGAACCCTCTAGTGTTTTATATAAAAAGGTATACCAAAAGTAGGATTTGAGGTGGCTTAAGAATCCAAACGGCTGATTTAGTACACTCTCTAATTTGGTGTAAAATTTATGTCTTTCAACTATTGAGTCATTTTAGGATGGCCAAATAGTTCACAATGGTTGTGGTAGGTGATGGCAACGACACAATGGTGATGGTAGCAGCAGTGGTAGTGGCGATGGTGATGACGACGCGTAATTATGGTTGTAATGACGATTGCGACATAATTGTGGTGGTGGCATTAACAACAATGATAATGATGGCAGTGACGACAGTTGTTGTGATGATGGTTATAGTGACGGTGAAATAATGGAGGTGGTGGTGATGGTGGCGACACAATTATAATAACTGTGGTGGTGGTGCATAGTAGATATTAAAAAGATACGAGTGTAAATTATATTAAGGGTATATTTATCCAGTTTAAAAAATGAGTAAATTACACCTTAATCTTGGAAACAAATACCTCTAAACTAGGCAACTAGATAAATGCTGAATTTGAACCTTTTAATTGGTCACGTTCACCATGTTAATATATCATAAAGAGATGATATTATACCTCTTTAGGGTAAAAATTACTAATATTGTCTACTATTATTAAAAAATTACTAAAAATTACAATTATTAACTCATAATAGTAAAAAAATAAAATAATTTTATTATAATGTATCCTAACCATATTTGTATTCTATTTTTTTTTAAATTATCTTATCAATATATCTATATCGTATCGTTCTTGTATACATATCCGTTACCAATGGACCTTTGGTCCAATGGTACTTCTTGCTTTGTGAAAACTTTGCCTTCTTGAAATCAAGGGTTCAAGTCCCCCTTCCCCCTCCCCTCCCAANATTCTTTTTCGTCTTGAGCTCTATCCCAAACATCGTTATCAAAATCTCGATCCAGATTTAGGATTTTCAGTCCATAATAGATAAATCGATCCGAATCTCATATAAAATCCCAAATTAATATGATCTTAGTGAATTGTGATCCGGATCTTTTAAGATTGTAGAATCCAGATCCGAATTGGGTTTATTTGTTAGGCGCATTTAATTATTAAGCTGACTTAATTCATATTTATTATTTTAATACTTAAAGACTCAATTTAAATGGAATTGTCTCACATAATTGTTAGTCTATTAAGGAATTTTGACGAATGAAAAAGCTGCATAAAATTCTTTANATTTAATTATTAAGCTGACTTAATTCATATTTATTATTTTAATACTTAAAGACTCAAATTTAAATGGAATTGTCTCACATAATTGTTAGTCTATTAAGGAATTTTGACGAATGAAAAAGCTGCATAAAATTCTTTCTGCTATAGAAAATTCTTTTCATCCAATTGTTTCCCGAGCTGAAAATTAAAAACAACCGTTAAGTTTGATTACACAAGTAATAATTGCTAAATGGTCATCTATTTTCATTCTTTTCTATTTTTTTGGTTTAGATGTCAAGCAAGTCTTTCAAATTTTCAGGACCTCATCTATGTTTGTCTCTCTCTAAAAATTAAGATCAAAATATTTCATTTTTCCTACTCCTCACAACATCCCACAAGATTCAACAATCCATATTTGATTTTTAACCATTTTTAAGGCTCAAGCTCTTTAAATAATCATGTCTCTAAATTTTGTGATTTTTTTTTATATCACATCAATTTGCATTATATACTAGCAACCTATTTATGCTAGCAACATCCCACAAGGTTAACAATCTACATTTTATGTTTTTTTTTATGAAGCTCAAGCTATTCTCTTCCTCGGTAGTAGCAANCTTACTAAACGCTGCGTTAGTTCCCAAAGCACCTTAACCACAACTACATGTGCAAATAAATCATCAATCTTGATCCAATTCCAGAGTGAGAGAGAGAGTTGGTTCTAAAGGCATTTCAAAAAGAAAGAAGCAAGCACCATCACATGATCACCAAGTGAAAAATCCTTGATCAGAGTGTCCAACAAAAGCACAAAATTAAAAAAAAAAAAAAAAGAAAAGAAAAGAAAAGAAGGAATAACTAATCGTGGACCAGAAGCAAGGTAAAACCATGCTCATCCTACCTGCCTCGTCATACGAAGCTTAAACCTTTCCTCGGCAACTGGTTCAGCCACTTAATTTACAATTGTCATGTAATGATATAACAAAAAGGAATATATTGCAAAAAGATACGTGTAATACACAGAACGACATAAATAATAGGTTACACGCCAAAGCCTGAAATACAACCAGTTGTCATGAACCAGGTGCAGTGGCCCTATTCTTAAAGAACGATAATAAAGGAAAATCACCGCATATAAAAACAAACAACAGAAGTAGAACTTGTAAAATTAAACACATTTTGAATGTACTTCCTTAGCAACATAGCATATAAAAAGTAATCTCGAAAAAATATGAAACAGAAAATAATGACAACAATGATCCTAGGATCCATGAATGAAATCCAGTGTTGGTGCATACACCTACATGAGACTAGAAATTGACACATGATTTTACACATGGCCATGATTCATAATACAAATAACTTTTTTTTTTTTTTTGAGATTCATAACCTAAAGAACTGGCACTAACCATTTGAATGTGTTTCATATTTATTTATAGGCATAAACCACCACCATATAGCTTAATACAGGGAATATAAATTGAATTAAAAATAATTGAATTACTCTAAAAAAAATGGCTCAAAAGGACCTCAAAAAATATGCAAGTTCATAATATGCTTACCATGCAAATCCAAAAAACTGTGATTGTAAAAATTAGCATGTATCATGCAGGAAAAGATCTTCATTTCCTTCATTATAGTTTCACATGTAGAAGCAGAGCTTGAACCTCCCCTCTACAGTCAAACATATGATCAATTTGTTACCCAACTGCCAATTAGGAAAGGACATGATATGATGCACATATCAACAAGTGAAAAATCCATGAGGTCCAACAATAACGTGAGATCCGAATATACTCTTTTACAGCTTCTCAAAGATCCAAAAAGCAACATTAACATCGGATCTAAGAGAATATTTTCATTCAATTACTCCAGAGATCTTAATATTAAAAAGTCTTAAAATTTTTAATAGTTCAAACATACCTACAAAAATTTTAGGATTGTACTGGGGGCAGTTGCCCCCACCGCCCCCAGTGTAAATCCGCCCCTAACTTCAACGATCAATGATCGAAGGCTTCAAAAAGAGGTGAAGCTGAAGAATTTTCTTTTCTCTATCTCTCTCTCTCTCTTTCGCCTTCGGCTACCCTTTTCTTTTTCTTTTCTCTCTCTCTATCTCTCTCTCGATTTTAACTAAGACTTTTTCTTCATTTCTTTTTTTAATAAGTTTCTTCTTTTTTTGGTATAATTTATTTATTAGTTGACAAATAAATTTACTCGCAACTCATTTTGGTATTAACCCACATCTCAATTTAGTATTAGTCCACTGCCCAATTCTACACATTAGTCTATTGTCCAATTATAAAATTGTAAGATATTAACCAACTACTCAATCATGTTAGGTCTTATTATTAATCTTGTTATTTATATAAAAAAAATATATAATATTATTTTAATTAACTGTATCCTCGTCATACCCATATCTTATATTCAAGAATTTTTTTGTATCCCCGTGTCCATGTCTTATCGGATACAACAACCGTGTCTGTTTCCGTGTTTCTTAGGTGAAATCGCAATTGGGTGAAGATCCTACGATTCTACAAGATGTTAATCTCGATCCATTAAGATTATATGAACTATTGATTTTTCAAGAGACTCTGACCAATTTGCCTAAATTGGATCTTAGGATCATAGGATCCTATTATTCGGATCGAGATTTGACAGCTATGGGAAAAAGATAAGAACAATATGCAAGTTCATACCATGCTTACCATATCTCAAACCAAAACAACCTTCTAACTGGAAGTTATAGATCCTTTCATTATAGTTTGTCATATAAAAGCAGATCTTGAACCTCTCTTCTACAGTCGGTTCAAGCACATAATCATTCTGAAACACCATGTTTAGGAAAAGGAATTGAAAGCATAAACAGTATTAAGTACAACATAGAGAAATAGAGACCATGAACAAAATCTTGAACTCTCCAGATGCAAGCACACACAAATCTCATTTTATGTATCAACAAAGAAAAAGAAATGATGGAAGAAAGTGAGTGTCCACTCTCCACCTTCACTTTTGTCCTTTTTCAATTGTTTCTCATTCAAGTGCTATCAAAAAATAAGTAGTCAAGTATGCATATCTAATTAAATCCACAAAGTTCTATCAGTAAAATTGCAAAAAAAGAAAAAGGGAAAGGTAAAGCTATAGAATGTTCGTCATTTGGCTTAGCTTTGCACTTGCAGTTACTGCAATCGAATTTGGAGCACCAGTATTTTCTGTCGAACAAGTTGTTGTTATCTTGTTTGTCAAAGCAATTGCTTGTCCCGAGCACGAAGCTGTAAATCTCTGCCCTCTCCAGATGAATGGTGTTGGCCCTATAATGGAGTTTGAGATTCCCCACCCGTCGGAGATCCCAAATCCAAGGGTTGCACAGTATGACACAGGAGGTGGGTTGGCTGCAACACTTTGGAAACACTCAATTGTAGATCTGGCAACAATTTCCCGAGGCTCTCTTTGAGGCAAGGAGAAAGCATGTCACAGTGAGTCAAAACATCAAGTGAGTGAATCACACCTTTTCTAATTAGTACTCCAAAAGCTGATGATACACATTGAATGACTAAGCCCTTCCTCTCAACATCATAGTTGTCCATTAGAAGGAACAAAAAATCAAGAAGAGTGTGAGTCATGTCAAGGTATCTAGGTATAGAGTTTGCCATCAATAGAATTGCAGGCTCAATGTTCATAATATTATCCACTCTTTCATCAAAGAAAAGCCAATCATAAAACAAAGCCAGCTTCACATTAGCTTGGACATAATTCTTCTTACAGGATTTCAATAACCAACCTATGACAGCCCATCTCTGAATGACATCCGATTGGATAATCTCATTAGGTGGGTGGTGTGCACAACATAAAAAACGAACAATGTCGATGACAAGGGTCTCTCTCTCGGGCACACAAAAAATCTTCCTCATAAACCAAACCTGGTACCGCTTTTGGCTTCCTAACTTCACATGCGTAAGCAAAAACCGCAATTGCTTTTCCATTTCAGGAGTTATTCGAAGTAAAAGATACCGACTCGAGGTCCTTTTCTGATAAAGCTGCAAAATATCAACAAACCCATTTGTCCTAAACTCCGTGGGCTTTAACACCAAGTCCTTCCATATTACTCGAAACTCAGGTATATGAACCAAGTCTTGTAAAAGCCTAATAAGATCCCTCCCAATCTTCAAACACAAATGGAACTGCTCCCTGAAAACTCGAACACATAAATTAATCTCCATTAGCTTCAATGCTTCTATTTTAGAGTTACCTGATATCCGATAATGATCAGCCAATAATCGAAGAAATAAATATAAAGCACTAGCTAAAACCAATGGCTCTTCTTCTAATAAGCAATCCCATTCGAATAGGAAAAGACTAACCAACTCTTGACACAACCACAAATTCCCTTCACTAAAATCCCCACCTACAATCTGCCTCAAAAGGGCCACTAACAAAGCATCAAATCCTACCGCCGCAACATGTATCAGCTCTTTAGTAATCCAAATCAACTGAATTTTGGCTGAATCAACTAGTTTTGAGTACAATTCATTAACAACCTTGGTAAGCAGACTCGTGAAAAAAGTATACCCATCAGTAACAATGCCATGTAAGTGCTTAATATGAACTTTTGCGAAATGCAACTCACATAAAATGCCAAAAAGAATTGCCCGGTTGAGGTTTAAGTACTCTGGTTGAGTTGGGACTTTTAAAGAAAATGGGGGTCTTAGTTGGGGTTCAAGAAGGTGAAAAGCTTCTCTTAACGAGACTTCAATTGGGTTTTCCGCTTCATATGTTGCTGTGTAAATAAGTTTTGAGGCCATGTGAAGGTCCATTGATGAATGGAATTCGATAAATCAATCAAACTAAAGAGAGGACCTCAGCTCCTATGCTTGCTACAGAGCCTGACACTATCAACAGAGTTTCCGACCAAACAAGAAACATCTGAAACATATGTGTAAATGTATATGTACTGATAGATAAGGAGCAAAAGAGTCACAGAGGGTTCAGACATACCAGGTGGTTTCAACCATATATTCTCATCNAAAAAGATAATTTTTATAAGACAAGAAGTACCATTAACTTCACATAAATCCACCATAATTCATACAAAAAACCAAATAGGAATAAACGTTACTAGAGAGAGAGAGAGAGAGAGAGAGAGAGAGTAACTTTTGATATGCGAGTACAACTAATAAGACATTAAGAAACAGTAATTTTGAATGTTTTCTTACATTTAGATCAAACCAAATGACCAACAAATTATAAATTGAATAGACAAATTAATTAAGTAGAGGCAGTCCACTGCCCAATTTGGAAGTGACACCGCCAATGTTGGTGAAAGGATTGATAGAAAAAAATATAAAGCACAAATGTCAGCAGCGCCATCAAATTGAACAAACTGACAGAGCCCACTTCCCTCATGCAACAGTAGATTCTATAAAAACTGACAGGGCACACTACCTTACACTGACGTCAAAATCATCGCAAGAGGATAAGAACGAAATATGGGTGCAAGTTTGCAAGCAAAACCAAATTTCTAAGACATGAAAGAAGACTGTGAACTGAAAAAAATGTCAAATAAGAGGAGAGAGAGTAAAGAAAAGCTGGGGGAGCAAGGAGGAAGAGAAATGTGTGGAGTGGGGAGCTGAAACTTCAGGAACATGGGGAGGTAACACTGTAGTTTGTATTTGACAAAAATACGAGCTATCTCACTTCCGAAAAAAAATTAAAAGTATCTTCCAAGGATCAATAATAAGAAGCAACAGAAGGGATACACAATTTTTTTAAAAAAAACTTTAATAAATTAGAGATGGCAGAAAGTTGGTTTCTCCGGACTAGCTGATACATTGCTATAGAATATTTAGATTTCATTTGATCACCTGCAGTTTAACTATATGTACACTATTGTGCCAGCATCCAAAGCTATACAATCGTATTCTGAAATTTTTGCCCAAGTTATAAGATGTTAATAACACAAGCCGAGGGATTGGTTACCAGTTGCCGTCGATATTAGTGTTTTAAGATTGACATATTCTAGTGAATTCCTCAAAAGAAATCAAATAAATTAGCCATTCTAGTAAAGTGAACACAGTGAAGTAGAATGTAGAATCAAAAGGGGAGAAGAACCCTGAAAGTGTTTGATTTAATCAATGAAGAAGAATGTCCAAAAATAGATATCCCTATAACAAACTCAGAACCATCTAACAAATAAAGTTCTTCGAGATTTCTGCCAGCAAAGAAAAAAAAAAATCGACCTAAAGACTGACCAATGAAAAGGTATGCACCAGTTATCACTTTATGTTGAACTCAATGACATTATGGCAATAAAAATAAATTAGAAAGAGATGGTAGACAGAGTCCATTACTATTGTTGATTCCCAGGTATCACACTTCAATGATCTTATTATATTTTTGTGATAATGTATCAGAAGCTAAATCATCATTACTAACGGCAAGATTATGGACGCTATGGGATAATGCAGCAGTTAATTTCTATGTCCTATTCAGATCTCATTTCAAATAATTGTAGCTATTGCTTAATAGTATATCATTTTCAACACCAACATCCACTTTAAACAAGTACACCAATTAGTTTTCAAACATGATCAACATATTCAAATGCACAACCACACATTCATAAATGTAAAAATAAATAACTAACAAATTCACCCAAATGGTAATTGATACCATTGGTAAACATCAACATGCTTTACTTTCTGGGAAAAATCACCTTATTTTGCAGGCTTTCTCCCTTGGTAGGCTGATACTCGCTTCTCAGACTAAATGAAATATATCTAAAGTGTTTTTGGCAGCTTCCATAAATATTTGGCATGTCTCTCCACATCAACTGAAGCAATGAAAAAATAAATAAATCTTTCTGCACTCCACGAAACATATGCAATACTCTCCAAACACGTCAGAAGTAAATCACAAATTCACTCCAAACAAGTATAGACCAACAAGCAACCCTCCAACAGTTTAAGCACAATTCCACAACTCAAAGACAAGGTCAGAACTTCAATCCTATGTGGCAACTACCATGTCCAGATCATCATAGTTTGTCAAAAACCAAAAATCATGCACAGAACTCGCAAAACCATTTACCTTTAATCCGAAACCATAACATTTTGCAAAGTCATAAATAAATATTTTAATTAAAATACCTGAAAATCAGGCAAAAAATGAGGAGATTCCAAAACCCCCAAAATTCAAGGTAAGATCTGAGATTGGCGACTAAATTGGGCGATAAGTTTACTTGAGATAGGTGGCTAAGGGATGTAGATTGTATAGCTTTGATAGACTATACCAATTGATGTAGATCAAGAAGAAGGTATATGGGGATGAGAAGAAAGAAGATGATAAGGGATGGGAATGAGAATCAGAAGAAGGGGATGGGAAAGAAAAATCAAGAGAAACAATTCTCAATATTATTTAATAATCAAAGTCTACCTAAAAATAATAAAATCAGGTCCTTTATATAGGGATCCAAAAACCATAAATCAAGACTCCTAATCTAATACTAACACCATAAAAGATAAATACTAACTAATGTGTAAATAAATAAATAAACACCAAATAAATCTACAATAATAACTATTCGATCCCACTACGATCCTCATCATTTAAATAAATAAATAAATCCCAAATAAAAATCTGATCCCAATATGATCCTCATCACTATAGTTGGATCTATCTAGTCTATGTAGTTCTTGGTCGCAAATGTGGTCCCTTGCCTCATAGGGAGGGCAGAGAGCGGTTGGGAGTGGAAGAGGGCAGCGATTGAATGCCAAGGGCAAGCAGTGAGGGGAGAAGGGAGTCATAGAGGCAAGGAGAGGAGAAGCAACGAGGAATCAAGGGAAGGGTTACCGGGAGGGGAGGGAAGCAGAGGAGAAGAGTTAGAGGGGTTTGAAGGAGGAGGAGAGGGCATTAGGTTTTTTTTTTGGTTCCAAATGGAAGCTTATTACTGTTTAGGTTGGGAATGCGTAATACCATGTTAGACACAGTAATGCCTAGTTCTATGAATTGTGGGATTAGTAATTCTTGGCATTGCATTTCAATTCCTGCCAACCAACCATAGGAGTGGACATTCACTCTATTCCCATGACTCCATACCACTTACTAAACGCTGCGTTAGTTCCCAAAGCACCTTAACCACAACTACATGTGCAAATAAATCATCAATCTTGATCCAATTCCAGAGTGAGAGAGAGAGTTGGTTCTAAAGGCATTTCAAAAAGAAAGAAGCAAGCACCATCACATGATCACCAAGTGAAAAATCCTTGATCAGAGTGTCCAACAAAAGCACAAAATTAAAAAAAAAAAAAAAAGAAAAGAAAAGAAAAGAAGGAATAACTAATCGTGGACCAGAAGCAAGGTAAAACCATGCTCATCCTACCTGCCTCGTCATACGAAGCTTAAACCTTTCCTCGGCAACTGGTTCAGCCACTTAATTTACAATTGTCATGTAATGATATAACAAAAAGGAATATATTGCAAAAAGATACGTGTAATACACAGAACGACATAAATAATAGGTTACACGCCAAAGCCTGAAATACAACCAGTTGTCATGAACCAGGTGCAGTGGCCCTATTCTTAAAGAACGATAATAAAGGAAAATCACCGCATATAAAAACAAACAACAGAAGTAGAACTTGTAAAATTAAACACATTTTGAATGTACTTCCTTAGCAACATAGCATATAAAAAGTAATCTCGAAAAAATATGAAACAGAAAATAATGACAACAATGATCCTAGGATCCATGAATGAAATCCAGTGTTGGTGCATACACCTACATGAGACTAGAAATTGACACATGATTTTACACATGGCCATGATTCATAATACAAATAACTTTTTTTTTTTTTTTGAGATTCATAACCTAAAGAACTGGCACTAACCATTTGAATGTGTTTCATATTTATTTATAGGCATAAACCACCACCATATAGCTTAATACAGGGAATATAAATTGAATTAAAAATAATTGAATTACTCTAAAAAAAATGGCTCAAAAGGACCTCAAAAAATATGCAAGTTCATAATATGCTTACCATGCAAATCCAAAAAACTGTGATTGTAAAAATTAGCATGTATCATGCAGGAAAAGATCTTCATTTCCTTCATTATAGTTTCACATGTAGAAGCAGAGCTTGAACCTCCCCTCTACAGTCAAACATATGATCAATTTGTTACCCAACTGCCAATTAGGAAAGGACATGATATGATGCACATATCAACAAGTGAAAAATCCATGAGGTCCAACAATAACGTGAGATCCGAATATACTCTTTTACAGCTTCTCAAAGATCCAAAAAGCAACATTAACATCGGATCTAAGAGAATATTTTCATTCAATTACTCCAGAGATCTTAATATTAAAAAGTCTTAAAATTTTTAATAGTTCAAACATACCTACAAAAATTTTAGGATTGTACTGGGGGCAGTTGCCCCCACTGCCCCCAGTGTAAATCCGCCCCTAACTTCAACGATCAATGATCGAAGGCTTCAAAAAGAGGTGAAGCTGAAGAATTTTCTTTTCTCTATCTCTCTCTCTCTCTTTCGCCTTCGGCTACCCTTTTCTTTTTCTTTTCTCTCTCTCTATCTCTCTCTCGATTTTAACTAAGACTTTTTCTTCATTTCTTTTTTTAATAAGTTTCTTCTTTTTTTGGTATAATTTATTTATTAGTTGACAAATAAATTTACTCGCAACTCATTTTGGTATTAACCCACATCTCAATTTAGTATTAGTCCACTGCCCAATTCTACACATTAGTCTATTGTCCAATTATAAAATTGTAAGATATTAACCAACTACTCAATCATGTTAGGTCTTATTATTAATCTTGTTATTTATATAAAAAAAATATATAATATTATTTTAATTAACTGTATCCTCGTCATACCCATATCTTATATTCAAGAATTTTTTTGTATCCCCGTGTCCATGTCTTATCGGATACAACAACCGTGTCTNCTTGTTATTTATATAAAAAAAATATATAATATTATTTTAATTAACTGTATCCTCGTCGTACCCATATCTTATATTCAAGAATTTTTTTGTATCCCCGTGTCCGTGTCTTATCGGATACAACAACCGTGTCTGTTTCCGTGTTTCTTAGGTGAAATCGCAATTGGGTGAAGATCCTACGATTCTACAAGATGTTAATCTCGATCCATTAAGATTATATGAACTATTGATTTTTCAAGAGACTCTGACCAATTTGCCTAAATTGGATCTTAGGATCATAGGATCCTATTATTCGGATCGAGATTTGACAGCTATGGGAAAAAGATAAAAACAATATGCAAGTTCATACCATGCTTACCATATCTCAAACCAAAACAACCTTCTAACTGGAAGTTATAGATCCTTTCATTATAGTTTGTCATATAAAAGCAGATCTTGAACCTCTCTTCTACAGTCGGTTCAAGCACATAATCATTCTGAAACACCATGTTTAGGAAAAGGAATTGAAAGCATAAACAGTATTAAGTACAACATAGAGAAATAGAGACCATGAACAAAATCTTGAACTCTCCAGATGCAAGCACACACAAATCTCATTTTATGTATCAACAAAGAAAAAGAAATGATGGAAGAAAGTGAGTGTCCACTCTCCACCTTCACTTTTGTCCTTTTTCAATTGTTTCTCATTCAAGTGCTATCAAAAAATAAGTAGTCAAGTATGCATATCTAATTAAATCCACAAAGTTCTATCAGTAAAATTGCAAAAAAAGAAAAAGGGAAAGGTAAAGCTATAGAATGTTCGTCATTTGGCTTAGCTTTGCACTTGCAGTTACTGCAATCGAATTTGGAGCACCAGTATTTTCTGTCGAACAAGTTGTTGTTATCTTGTTTGTCAAAGCAATTGCTTGTCCCGAGCACGAAGCTGTAAATCTCTGCCCTCTCCAGATGAATGGTGTTGGCCCTATAATGGAGTTTGAGATTCCCCACCCGTCGGAGATCCCAAATCCAAGGGTTGCACAGTATGACACAGGAGGTGGGTTGGCTGCAACACTTTGGAAACACTCAATTGTAGACCTGGCAACAATTTCCCGAGGCTCTCTTTGAGGCAAGGAGAAAGCATGTCACAGTGAGTCAAAACATCAAGTGAGTGAATCACACCTTTTCTAATTAGTACTCCAAAAGCTGATGATACACATTGAATGACTAAGCCCTTCCTCTCAACATCATAGTTGTCCATTAGAAGGAACAAAAAATCAAGAAGAGTGTGAGTCATGTCAAGGTATCTAGGTATAGAGTTTGCCATCAATAGAATTGCAGGCTCAATGTTCATAATATTATCCACTCTTTCATCAAAGAAAAGCCAATCATAAAACAAAGCCAGCTTCACATTAGCTTGGACATAATTCTTCTTACAGGATTTCAATAACCAACCTATGACAGCCCATCTCTGAATGACATCCGATTGGATAATCTCATTAGGTGGGTGGTGTGCACAACATAAAAAACGAACAATGTCGATGACAAGGGTCTCTCTCTCGGGCACACAAAAAATCTTCCTCATAAACCAAACCTGGTACCGCTTTTGGCTTCCTAACTTCACATGCGTAAGCAAAAACCGCAATTGCTTTTCCATTTCAGGAGTTATTCGAAGTAAAAGATACCGACTCGAGGTCCTTTTCTGATAAAGCTGCAAAATATCAACAAACCCATTTGTCCTAAACTCCGTGGGCTTTAACACCAAGTCCTTCCATATTACTCGAAACTCAGGTATATGAACCAAGTCTTGTAAAAGCCTAATAAGATCCCTCCCAATCTTCAAACACAAATGGAACTGCTCCCTGAAAACTCGAACACATAAATTAATCTCCATTAGCTTCAATGCTTCTATTTTAGAGTTACCTGATATCCGATAATGATCAGCCAATAATCGAAGAAATAAATATAAAGCACTAGCTAAAACCAACGGCTCTTCTTCTAATAAGCAATCCCATTCGAATAGGAAAAGACTAACCAACTCTTGACACAACCACAAATTCCCTTCACTAAAATCCCCACCTACAATCTGCCTCAAAAGGGCCACTAACAAAGCATCAAATCCTACCGCCGCAACATGTATCAGCTCTTTAGTAATCCAAATCAACTGAATTTTGGCTGAATCAACTAGTTTTGAGTACAATTCATTAACAACCTTGGTAAGCAGACTCGTGAAAAAAGTATACCCATCAGTAACAATGCCATGTAAGTGCTTAATATGAACTTTTGCGAAATGCAACTCACATAAAATGCCAAAAAGAATTGCCCGGTTGAGGTTTAAGTACTCTGGTTGAGTTGGGACTTTTAAAGAAAATGGGGGTCTTAGTTGGGGTTCAAGAAGGTGAAAAGCTTCTCTTAACGAGACTTCAATTGGGTTTTCCGCTTCATATGTTGCTGTGTAAATAAGTTTTGAGGCCATGTGAAGGTCCATTGATGAATGGAATTCGATAAATCAATCAAACTAAACAGAGGACCTCAGCTCCTATGCTTGCTACAGAGCCTGACACCATCAACAGAGTTTCCGACCAAACAAGAAACATCTGAAACATATGTGTAGATGTATATGTACTGATAGATAAGGAGCAAAAGAGTCACGGAGGGTTCAGACATACCAGGTGGTTTCAACCATATATTCTCATAATCACGGGACTCTGTCAGCAAGGAAGAGCTCATATAGCTATGGGCAACTTACTCTCTGCCCCTAAACTGTGGTCACTATTGCGTTTAGACCTCAATTATCATCTTCTACTACTATTTTTCTTCAACTGTTTTAGCTAGGTGAATAACACCAATAGCCCTAATTTTCGAAACACCTTTTTCTCCTTATTTGAACAACTTTAGCGAGGGACCCAAACACCCTTCTTCTTTTCCACACAACTCTCTCTCTCTCTCCACACGACACACAGTCAACTGCCGTCAATCACCAATACTGTCCGAGTACGTGTCGGGATCACCAAACCATCACCACACTGTGGTCACCGCCCCAGTCAAACAGCCACCGCCAGCAAATTGAATCGAAAAAACCTACGAACTCCACAACCAATCCACCAGAATTAACCAAAACTACGAATTTACAGTGAAATAACCCCTGAAATTTGCGGTAAAGAAAAACCAGGAAATCCACAGTGACCCATGAACAGTGTAAGAGGAATGCGGAATTTTGTGAATGGCGGTGGGTGGCTATAGTGAGATTCAAAGATAGTGAGAGAGTGACCCCTTGCGAGGGAGAATAGTAGGTCGTAGAGGTGGTCTGTGTCGGCGTTGCCATTGTAATATGAGTCACATGACCACGCACATACGGTCAAATGACACGGGCTCCTTATATTTGACAACGTAATTCATCGGACACCCCTCCACATTTCAGAAATAACATGGAGATTCTTTTACAATATAAACTTCTAACAACTAACAATGCACCATCTCCATTGCACCAGATTAAATTAAATAATAAATTTTTTATTAAATTTATTTAAAATATGAATTAATTAAATAATTAAATTAAGTAAGATATTAATTTTTGCCAAGCCCCANTATTTAAAATATGAATTAATTAAATAATTAAATTAAGTAAGATATTAATTTTTGCCAAGCCCCAAATTTTATAAAAAGATGTGATGTAAAAAAATTATTTAATTCAAAAGACTACCTCCAAACTTTTTACTAAACCTAAGTAGTTTGAAAAAATAATTCTCAAAATGGGGCAATTTTGAAACTATTTCACAAACCCAGATAATTTTTAAAAACATTAGTCTAATTGACGTTTGCGATGTCATTTTTTGAGTTCCTTAGACGTGCAATTTATTTCAAAAAGGCCAATTGAACCGGCGTTTTTAAAAAAATTGTCACTCTAATGAACACAAAAATTAAAAAAGTGTTGCAACTCAAAAACGTCTGAAAAATTGACGTTTGTTCACCATCTGAATATAGTCGCTGATTGAAACTTGAATGGAAGCAGATGCCTTTTAAAAAAGAAAATAGAGAATTATACTCAAACTTTATGAGGTTTGTCACTTAATCACTCAGAAATTGATATTTAAAATATTATATATAGACTTCCTAAAATTTGTACACGCGTATCATTTAGATTCCTACCGTCAATGTCCATTAATATATCCGTTAGTCGATTATACCAAGACCCCTTAAAGTTTGTAGGTGTATAATACTTTAAACCTTTAAGTTTAAAATGTTATACTTAAACCAAAAATACTCTAATTAAAGATAAAATATCAAATATTTTAAATTTTACAACCAAAATTCATGGTCTATTATATCATTTATTGAAATAAAATAAAAAAGTAAAAAACTAATNATATTTTAAATTTTACAACCAAAATTCATGGTCTATTATATCATTTATTGAAATAAATTAAAAATGTAAAAAACTAANCTTAAACCAAAAATACTCTAATTAAAGATAAAATATCAAATATTTTAAATTTTACAACCAAAATTCATGGTCTATTATATCATTTATTGAAATAAAATAAAAAAGTAAAAAACTAATTTTTTTTCTTAAAAAATCGTAATTATTATACAATTATATTATCTATTGGAATAAAACTTAAAAATCAAACAAATGGTCAAAGTCGTTCATAATAGAACATGAATTTTACAGCTAAAATTTATGTTTTATTATGTCATTTATTAAAATAAAATAAAAAATAAAAATCTTATTTTTTCTTAATAAATTATAATTAGTATATAATTATATACTGGAATAAAACTAAAAAATCAAACAATGAGTGAAATAACATTTTAAACTTGAAAAATTTAAATATTATACGCCTACAAATTTTAGGGGTCTGGGTGTAATTTATTAACGGATACACTAACGGATATTGACGGCAAGTGTTTAGGTGCTACACATGTACAAATTTTAAGGGATCTGTATATAATATTTCAAATGTTAGAAGTTTGAATGATTAAGTGAGAAACTTTAGAAGATTAGAGTGTAATTCTCCCAAAAGAAAGAGAAAACACATGTGCGGATGGAAGTTAAAAACATGAAATGGAATGACGTTTTTAAACTAAATTTTTATTTTAAAAACGTTAATTGGAGTGATGTTTTTAAGTTCAAAGCGTATTTTTTTAGATTAATATTTTTATTTTAAAGATGTCAATTGAATTAAAGTTTTTAATCTAAAAATGTCAATTCAATCGAAGTTTTTAAAAACTGTCTAGATTTAAGAAATAATTTCAAAACCGCTCCATTTTGAGAATTATTTTTTCAAACCACTTGGGTTTGGTAAAAAGCTCGACTTCCTCCGTTTCACAAATAAGTTTGAGTAAACTTAATAATTTCTATAAAAACAAAACTCAATTCTTTAGAAAAAAAAAAATCTGCATAAGTTTATAATAAGGGTTAATCTCAACTTGTACCCTAAAAGATTATTTGAATTTTAATTTATACCCTCAAAGTTTAAAATTATTAATTTACACCCTGAAAGACATAAATTTATATCAATGTGTACCTAGAGTTAATTGTCATCCATTTTGTTGTTAAAAAAAGTTTGGGATAATTATAAATTACACATTCAAAGTTTAAATATTTCACGTTTATGATTAAAAAAAATTTCATCCATTAATACTCATTAAATACCTCTCAATTGTGTTGTATTATATCGTATCATTTTTGTGATGTGTTCGAGTCGATAGAAAAATATTTTTAACACAAAATATTTTTGTGTTGAGTCAATTGCGTTGTGTCGTATATTTCACATTTACGACAATTTATATAATATTTTTTAATATTTTTTAAAAATTATAAAATACATATTTTTTTTACCTACAATACTCATTAAATAGTTATTTTCTGTTTATAATTGTGTTATTCATATCTAACTGAATATAGAAAATGACTATTTAACAAATATTGTAAACAAAAAATATGTATTTTATATATTTTTTAAAAATTTAAAAATAGTTTTTTTTATTGACTCTAACGTGATACAAAAATATTATGACACGATAAAATTTAGAGCTATTTAACGAGCATTAATGGAAGAAATCCTTTTTTGATTATAAATATGAAATATTTAAACTTTAAGAGTGCAATTTATAATTAGTTTAAACTTTTTTAACTGTAAAATGGATAATAGTTAATCTCAGGTGCACATTAATACGAATTTGTCTTTTAGAGTGTAAATTGATATTTTTAAATTTTGAGGATGTAAATTAAAATTCAAGTGAACTTTCAGGGTGCAAGTTGAGATTAGCGCTTAACTTTAAAAATATTGAGCTACTAGTCATAACTTGTGTCTAAAGGCACTATAAAACATAAAATTTGAGCGTCTAAAAAATTGATCCCGCTATATTAAATAATAATTTTTCTTTCCTTCATTTATTTGATTACATCATTTAAAATTTATTTTTACTTATTATTTTTTAAAATATATCTACAAAAATACGTAATTCGATAAATTTTGTCAACATATATATATTATCATGTATGGATAATGTCTAAAATAAAAATTATGTTAAACTACAAATTAATCAAATATTAAGTGATTAAACATGTAATNTTTCTCGACATGTGTATATTATCATGTATGGATAATGTCTAAAATAAAAATTATGTTAAACTACAAATTAATCAAATATTAAGTGATTAAACATGTAATAAAAATAAGTGATGTGATAGTTTTGAGGAAAAAAATATGTTTAAGATAAAATTTCAGATACCTAACTATTTTATTATATAAATAATCAAACAGAGAGCATTTAACACTAACTGAAACAAAATAGCATCCTTCCATTTAGGAGATTAAATCATGCTTTCAGTCAAAACTCAAATAGATAATGAATTCATCTAACTAAAACTTCAAAACATAACTCCACCAGTCTACATTCAACCAATAAAATAGTAAGTTCTGCTAAATTAACTAAAATCATAAATTTAGATAATAAAACATTTCATAAACTAAGTAAACATCAACTCCTCAAGCATCAGCTTCCTAATCTATTTCCTGATCAATACTAGGGTCCACCACAAAGTTAGTATCCAACCCTATCTCATTCTTCAAATTCAAAAGTGAAATATGTTAAATATAGGGATGAGCATAACTAGCTCAATAGAGAAAATTTTCCAAAGATTAAACAAGATTTATAAAATGTATAACAGGTCATAGTTTCCAAAATACATACATAACTTCTGAATCAAAACATTTAAGTATTGATGACGTCATGTTGCCATGCATGAAGTTGAATAAACCAAGTAATATGAATAAGAAGATAAGCAGTTTGATTAGTAAAAATTCAACACACTGAAATATATCAAGTCCACAACGTCACAATCATAAATCATACTAATACCTAGAGGGCTTTTAGGAAGGACCGATATTGACGCATTAATATCTAGCCAATTCTCCTAAGGCATAGTAAGAACCCTTGGAACCTCGCAATACACCAAACACATCTACTACCCCTCTGTCT